GCGTCTGCGGCCCCGGCCCCACCCCTCGGGGACCCTAGCCCGCAGCTCCCGGCTGCCTCTCCGGGCTCTTCTTACCCCCAGCCCCTCCCACTTCGCATTCCTTCGTTCCAGGCTGGTGCCCCTTCCGAGCATGGCCCGTGGCCTTCCCTCTGCCTGGGAGACCCGGCAGTGCTGGCCACACGTGCATCCTCCAAGCCCGACTGGGTGACTTCTGCTCTGATCCCGACGCAGGTGTCATCTCTGCTTTCCCCTTCCCGCGCTGCTCCCTGCGTCCAGAATACTCTGTATATAAAATTCCCTGCTGCTAGTTATTTATTGAGTGCACGATGCAGGGACCACGTCCTGTGCTTTTCCGTGTGCGGTTCCAGGGACTTGAGAGCGTGGGTATTATTATGTCTGTTTCACTGGTAAAAACACGGAGGCTCATGAAGATCCAGAGTCATTGCTGGCCAAGGCAGAGCTGGGATTGGAACCTCCATCTGTCACAAGTCCCGGCCTTTTCCGGTCCTTCGCGCCAGCTCTGCCTCCCCCTGCCACCCCTTTGGAAGTACTTTGAGTGATGTTATTCACACGGCAGGTCTTGGGTACCGTTCACTGCATTTCCGAACACTGACCCAACACACCGGTGCTCACAGGCACCTCGGACTTGACAGTTCCTAACAGTGAGTCCACATACATTCCCCTACACACACACACACACACACACACACACACACAAGCACATGCACAGTCTGCCAAGTCCCACAGGTGCAAACCGGTTCTTCCCCTTCCCTTCCTTCCAGAGCCTATCCAACCTGGATTCTTTACAATCTATTTCCTCATATTCCTCTGTCCATCCCTCCTCTCCATACCAAATGCCAATGCCTAGGCCCTTGGGCCAGGGACTGACTCTTCCTGGACTACCCCACTTGTCTCCTCTAACATCGCCTGCCTCCCTCCAGCCCTTCTACAAACCATTTTTTGCTTCACCGACGGAGTGATCTTTTCTTTGGTGGAAGAAAATCTGACTGGAGAAGCAGAACTGTTGATTTGGGAAGATCTTCAATATATATTAGTAAATGCTCAAGGCAAATTACAGAACAGTTCATACCGTATGAGACCAGTCTAGGGCGGGGAGATTTAAGAGTGTATGTACATTTATAGATGCAAAGAGTTCACAACAAAATAAGAGTTCATGTTACTAGGGAGCAGAGTGGAATTAAGGGAGTAGCTGGGGACTTTTGTTTTATTTGTATGATTGGATATTTTTGTACCAAAAATAGGTGCCTTTCCAGTTTCCTGTTCTGTAACTCCTCTTCCTGTGCCCTGTGTGCAGCCTTTTACAACTTACTGTTCCGCAAGCACCTGTTGGTATTTCGCTCCCACGAGTATTTCCAAGTCTTCGCACTCCATTCCCTTTGCTTCCAATGTCTGTCACGCCTTGTCTGTCTACAGGTCTATACTCATCCTTCAAATCATTCCACATTCTGCTGAAAACTCACTTCCGCAAGGCCTCCCTAATTACCATTATCCCAGAGTTTGTACTTCATTCTTTTAGCACTTAGGTCACTTTAAGTATTTGTATTTCATCTCCCTCATTAGATGGTGAGCTTTTTAGGGCTCATAAATATGTTTGTTTATGTTTGGAGCACAAAGATCTGGCACATAGTAGCTGCTCAGAGCCTTTTTATTCAATAAACATCAATGAATGAATGGTGCAATTTTTGTTTTTTTAGAATTCCCTAATTTTACATTAAATTCATGCAAGCATCATTTCTGATTTTCCCAGTGGCAATGAAAATCTGGTTTGCTGCCCAACTGGCATGGCTCAGTGGTTAAGCATCAGCCTATGAACCAGGAGGTCACAGTTCGATTTCTGGTCAGGTTGTGAGCTCGATCCCCATTGGGGGGGTGCAGGAGGCAGCCCAATGATTCTCTCTCATCGTTGATATTTCTCTCTTTCTTTTTCCCTCCTTCCCTCCTCCCCTTCCTCCCTCCCTCTCCTTTTCTCTCTGAAATCAATAAAAATATTTAAAACAAAGAAAATCTGGTTTGCTACTTTTTGGTATGTTTTACTTCAGTGTGTGCTTTTATA